TGGTGGTTATTTATCTCCCTTTCACTAGTTTGTACTGGTATTGTATTGGTGGTTATTTATCTCCCTTTCACTAGTTTGTTATGGTATTGCATTTGTGGTTATTTATCTCCCTATCACCAAATTGTACTGGTAGTGTATTGGTGGTTATTTATCTCCATATCACGAGTGTGTACTGGTATTGTATTGGTGGTTATTTATCTCCCTTTCACTAGTTTGTACTGGTATTGTATTGATTGTTATTTATCTCCCTATCACCCGTTTGTACTGGTAGTGTATTGATGGTTATTTATCTCCCTATCACCAGTGTACTGGTATTGTATTGGTCATTATTTATCTCCCTTTCACTAGTTTGTACTGGTATTGTATTGATGGTTATTTATCTCCCTATCACCCGTTTGTACTGGTAGTGTATTGGTGGTTATTTATCTCCCTATCACCAGTTTGTACTGGTATTGTATTGGTGATTATTTATCTCCCTTTCACTAGTTTGTACTGGTATTGTATTGATGGTTATTTATCTCCCTATCACCAGTGTACTGGTATTGTATTGGTGATTATTTATCTCCCTTTCACTAGTTTGTACTGGTATTGTATTGATTGTTATTTATCTCCCTATCACCCGTTTGTACTGGTAGTGTATTGGTGGTTATTTATCTCCCTATAACCAGTTTGTACTGGTATTGTATTGGTGATTATTTATCTCCCTTTCACTAGTTCGTACTGGTATTGTATTGGTGGTTATTTATCTCCATATCACCAGTTGATAATTCTCAGTAAAATTCATTTGTTGGTAAAAATGTCCATATATTCACTGCAAGAAAAACTATAACACGACAACACCGATATAACTATCGGAAAATTGTCGTCTCGATCAGAGTGCAAGAATGACACAATGCAAGTTGTATATGTATGCCATATGAAGTGCACTGGCAACTACAAAAGAAAGTCGTTACAAATATCTCAGCTGCGTCCAATGTATAAACACACCCGTGTCTCGTTATTGCCTCGCATCACTTCACGAGATTTATCTACTCTTATCCTATTTCTGCACACTGTTGTCACTTTTTGACACATATGTTGGTAGTGTAGCCATCTATGCTTGTGAGGTGTGGGATTTACACAAAGCGCCTGACATTATCATTTCGAGGAAAATTAAAATTTCGAAGTACGTGTAAACTATTGACTTCTAGCTACTGTATTTTAAATGCATGTTATCCAGATATGTACAATGAGTGTGAATCGAACGCACATTGTAAAAATTGGGTGACTTCTGTTAAACAAGAACTCTGTTCTGCTGGTATGTCGGAGTACTGGCAAGCACAGAGCAGCTTCAATACACATCATATTTTGGTTTTAACAAAACAGAGATTGTTAAATATTTTTAAACAAGACCATGAGACTTTTTTTTCCACCGCAGCTAAGAACATATCATTGATCATGCCTGCCTTCAACCTTACTTAAGTAAACCTATTTCTGTCAAGTACAAAAAAAACTATGGTCAAAGTACGACTGTCTTAACACAATCTTTTAATAGAAACTTGAAGGCATAGAAAAATCCTCATAATTTAAGACTTTGTCCTTTCTGTAAAAATGATATGGAAGACGAATTCAACTTCATTCTCAAATGCCCCTCTTTCAGCGAACAAAGAAGTAAATAAATTAAATTATATTATCGTGTTAATCCCTCTGTCTATTACAAATCATTTAAATTATTATCAACAGGTCATATAAAAGATTTAACTAACCTGGGTCAGTTCATATATTTTCTTAGTTCTACTCTGTTGGCTTCTAACTAGTTTGATTTGCAATCCCTTATATCATAAAAACACCCGTATTTATATTATAAATTCCATATGCTGATTGTATCTTACAGCCTGTGCTGATTGTATCTTACAGCCTGTGCTGATTGTATCTTACAGCCTGTGCTGATTTTGAATGTACATTATGAAATTTTCTTTTGAATCGATGAGATGTACATGCTCAAGATGAAATAAAGAATTTGAAAAACACACGTTTTCAGTTTCTTTATTTCCAAGAGCCATCCGACTCATAGGTTGAATATCAAACAACTATATCATATAGTACATGTACAAACAACTATATCATATAGTACATGTACAAGAGATGTTTATACACATTTAAGTGGAGAGTGAGCTTATAAAGCACACAAGTAGTTTTCCATATCAGACTTTAATTTGTCTACGTTTTCTTGAAGCACAATATAAATACTTTCCTATATTACATAATTCTTTAACATTATTAGTAATCAACAATTTCGTTAACTTAAAAACATTAGGACTTCTGTGATGTCGTGGGGCTTAATTTAACTGTAAAAAATGCTCTAGAAACAGTAATCACTAAACAAAATTCTATTGTCGACAGTAACTTAAATTAAAGCCCCTCATCGACATTTTCGCCAAGAGTAATTTCAAATCGCCAACCATGTTTTACTTTCGCCATTGGAGCCAGCGGCGACCACAAGCGGGATCCTTGGCGTGAAATGATAAAAAAAAAACAGAGACGTTATTGAGCTTTCCTACCTGAACATCTAATTACAACATTTCTATTAGGTGAAAAAAGAAATGTTACCAATATCATCGTTAGTCCGACATAGAATATCTAAATCAATCAATAGCAATATATAAGTATATAACAGTGTACCCCTTCGGGAACCTCAAAGGTGTCTGGTTCATATGCGGACCATCTTCATTCTGAAATTCGGAACGCCTTTAGATTGTATGTTAGATCTATTCCTTTTTAAAGGATAATCGATATCTGAGTTATCCAAGAGCTTGTAATTAGCGACAGAAGCAAACACACGAAAGGCATTAACGGTGGTCGGCAACAGATGTCAACATCTGGGACTGAAACCGAAATTAATAGTCCCGCTGGGGTTCCCCCAGGGCTGACTTAAACATGATTTTCTTTCAAGAAAACTTTTTTCTACGTTATATGTTATTGCCGTTTTCATTTTCTTTTGATCAATTTCAATGTGTACCATGTTTAACGACCTATTTGCTAGGCATTGACCTGCCCAGACTTTATCGAATTTGAAGGGTGACATAATTTTTTACTTACACGAAATGTAGTTTCTATTTCAAAATACGTTACCACAGTCATTATAATGCATATTCCAACCTTACTTGGCTCTTTACATACGTAAATAAAGAATTTTTCCCCCCATGGGGAACCCCTGGGAAACCCACCAATCAGACGGCAGTATTCACGCTCGTGATTTAAGACACGAAGCCATGCTTCCCACTTCATAATTCCTTCAGCCGGCCGTGTTTACGGACGTGTTTTGGTGTCTACGGGTTCCAACTACAACAGGCGTTGTTTGTACCCATACATATACGTATCCTTTATAACTATTTAACTTTATTTTGTTTTAATTAAGCTTTTTGCTTTATTTTGCGCCGTTTTGCGACCAGGCTCCGACCACGTGTTCGCGTTTTTGACGGTTTGTTTACGTTGAGATGGAGACTCCTCCTTCTCAAAGGCGCTGTCCTAGGGATCATTTTTTTGAGGCTTCCGACCCCCACCCTTACTGTCCTGGCTGTCGGTCTTGCTCTCTGGAGCAGCCGTGTGAAATTTGCCGTGCCTGGCAGCCGACTCCTACCGGTGGTTCTCCCCGCCCGCGAGGGCGTGCAGGTAAGTCGGGTAGGAGGGGTAGGGGTGGGGCGAGGGCTAAGGCTAGGCCTAAGCCCTCGGAGAACACCAGCGGAATTCCGACCTCTGTCGAGTCTTCCCTGGGGTTCGTGTCGGCGGTTTCGACCCGTACCGGGGCCGCTGGGAAACAATTTGTTTCTTTGGACCCGCACCTTTCTCTCACCCCGCCTTCCGTTTTGTCGGTCGACGTGGGTGAGGGTTTGGGCTCTGTCCCGGTCACCACGGTGACTAGGGGACAGGGGGGCGGCCTTCTCTCCCAATTTGTGGTGGGAGGGCAGGTGGCCCAACATTCCCTTGGGAATATTAAACAGGCCAGCCATGTTGTGTCAGCGGATGCTTCTGTTGGTGGCCTCCTGCCGGTCCGCTCCACTCCTGAGGGTGTTGGTGTTGTCGGAGACCGGCCCCCGGCAGTTTTGTCTGCTCCCGGGGTTCCTTGCATCCCTGATGTAGCCCCTGGCGTGGTGATGGCGTCTAGCACGCCGTCCACCACTGTGCAGCATTTGCTGCCCGGTCCGGTGGTTAGTGATGCTTCGGCCTCGCTAGCCTCGGCTGGATTTTACGGTGGTGTGAGCACTGGTGTAAAAACCTATGCTTCCAGCTCTATCCCTTGTGCCTCCTCCCCAGGTTTTCCTATGGTAGGTGCCAGCGCAGCTGCGTTTGGTTTTGCCGGTGCACGCTGCTCCCCTGGTGGGGCTTGTTTTACTGGCCCTACAGGTTTTGGCCCTGCTGTAGGTCAGTCTGGGTGGAGTTGGTCAGGTCAGCCAGGTGTGGCTTATGGCGGCGGGTGTGTAGGTGGCCCTAGGTTCCCTACCCCGCCCCCCCAAACCGGTCCTGCCTCCGGTTTCGGGCATCAGGTTGGTGGCTCTGTTCCAGGGTCCTCCCTGGTTTATCCCACCTATTTGCAGGGTGGGAATGGAGCTCATTGGGGTCAACAGGCTCCTTTTTATGCTCCGCCCCAACCACCGACCGCCTATGGGCAGTCTTGGGGTTTCTCCCAGCAGGGGGCTTTTCCAGCCGCTCCCCCTCCACCCCAGGGTGGTATGGGTTTCCAGCCTGGATATGCCCCCCCCGCCTTCTTGCCTGCGGCGATGGGGCCCCCCCTCCATCCGCCACCGAGCCGTTCGCGCAAGCGTTCGCGCTCCCGGCCAGCTTCTGCTGCCGGTTCTGTCAGGCAGAGACCGCGTGATGCTAGGGCTGCTGGTCGTGCTGCGTTGGCTCGAGCTCCTATTTTGGAATTTGAGTCTACCAGTAACTTCCGCTGTCCGGTGTCAACTCCTACCTTACAGCAGGTTCCAGGGTCTTGTGGTCCTGCTCCTGCTGTTCCTCAGGGACTATCGCTTGCCCCGATAGTTCCCTCGGGTAGGTCACGTTCTCTTTCCCCTCCTCGCACCCCTCCCCGGAGGGCTGCGTTGATGGAGGTGGATTCGGCGGGTGCCTCTCCAAGTGATGAGAGGGACGTTCTTCGGGGCTCTCCTGGTTGCTCCAATTTTACGGAGACTCGGGATGAGGATAGAGTCGGCGAGTTTACTGACTCTGATTTAGAGTCGTTGGATTCGTCTGGGTTGGACTCAGAAGGCCCTTCTGATGTGTCCCAATTCCGGCCCCGAGATGCTAATCCGGTGCCTCCAGAGGTTTCGGCTTCATTTCGCACTTTACGTGCAGAAGTTATGAAGCTTCTGGGGGACGGGGTTTGCCCACGCCCTTCCACGGATTCGGCCGTCCCGGAGCGCACTTCGCTCCTTCAGAGCATGTTGCCTCCCCTAGCATCTGCCTCCTCGGCCTC